ATAAATGTTTTTCAGTTGATAATCATTATATACTTACTTTCCTTCCAGATTTCAGATGATATAAAAATCAATGATGATTTTTTAAGACCTCAGAAAAATAAATGCACTCATTATTTATTATTTTCACCGGATTTGAATTGGACAACAATAGTAGTAGGTCCCCAGACAGTGAGCAAGGTATCACAAAAACAAGGTTTTCATTGTATATTTGAATTGTGATTAACGACATATATGATTTTTAGGTGGTAGTCGTGACTTTATCGACAAGATGGAAAATAGAAGAATATTTAAGAAAACCAGAATCAAGAAAAATAGTTAATTTGTTAATTGTATCCCACGTATTAAAGCAAGACATTTTTTTTGGATTGGTGAGTGATTATAATATAAGAATATATATTTTTCATTGTATTCATTGACTAAAACATATAAAATTTTAGGAAGAACGTTTCAATTTGAGCCAATATACTAATCTTTACACCCACAATCTTCTCACAGATCCTATTGGTAGCAGTACTGTTGAATTTTTAACAAGTTGGAGATGTGGAAAATTATCAAGGAATCAAAATTTATTTCCTCAAAAAATGAAAAAAGGTCTTTTATAAAAAATTTATTTATGTCATTACATCAAAGTTTTGAATGTTTTCTAATTTTGTTTTTTTTTTTTCGTTTCAGGTTTCAATGGAAAACAATTTGTAATATCTGCTTCAGAACAACCACCGTTTACTTTTCGAAAAAAAATAACTCTGGAAGAAGATTTAAACGATTCTAAATTGTGGGATGGAGTGGAAATAAGACTTTTAAGATTGCTGTCGGATTTTTTAAATTATACTATTGAAATTCATCAGCCTAAAACATCGATTAGCGACACGTAATTAATTTTACACAATTATATTGTGAAGTTTTGCTAAATTACTCTTAAATTCTTTTAATTGCAGCAAAGGTCCAAGTGAAATTGTCATAGAAGATATAATATCAGGTACGGCAGAAATCGGAAGTGCTGGAGTTTACGTCACAAATCAAAGATTATCTGATATTTGGCTTTCAGCGCAACATACCACGGATTGTGCTGCCTTCATAACAAAAGCTACTACTTCACTTCCACGGTTAAATAATAACAATAATAATAATATTTTCATAATAATTTTTTCATAATAATTTTGTGAAATAATTACAGGTATCGAGCCATATTGGGACCGTTTCAACTATCCGTTTGGATTTCATTAACCATAACTTATTTAATTGCAATCATTCCACTCACTTTTGCTGATTCTCATTCATTAAAACCCTTAATAAGAAATCCATGGTTATTCGAAGAAATGTTTTGGTACGTTTCAATTTTTTTATTTTGTGATTTTCTTTTTTTTTTAATAAACTAATTCGTTGACATTGTTTCAGGCACGTTTTTGGGACGTTTACTAATTTATTCACTTTTACCGAAAAAAAATCTTGGACCAAGAGTAAAAAAAATGCATCAAGATTATTAATAGGTAATTGAAATTTTTAATAAATTAACTGATCTTATTTAGATTCATCGGAAAAAATATAAATTTTAAATAAAAATTGTGAAAATATTTTATTAAGGTTGGTATTGGGCATTTTCTGTAATAGTCACTGCATGCTACACCGGAAGTATTGTGTCTTTCATAACTCTTTTTGTATTCCCGGATGTTATTGATAATGTTGACCAATTGGTGAAAATGAATTTTCGAATCGGAAGTTTAAGTATTTATTTTTTTTTTAAAGCTAATTTATTGATTTCGATGTATAAAATACGAAAAAAACGTAATATGATTCATCCATCAGGTACGGCCGGTTGGGATACCTGGTTTAACAATTCTGATCATGAAAAAACTAAATGGCTGTTGAGAGATGTTGAATTGGTTCCGAATACGACCCAAGGTTTAAAAAATGTGAGCAATTCCTTTTATTTACCCATGTTTCGTCCATATGCATTTTTAGCCGGAAGAGCACAAATGGAATATATTATTCAAGCTAATTACACGTAAAATATTTTTTTTAAATTACTCGATCAAAGTAAAATTAAAAAAAAAAAAATTTGAAATGAATTTTATTGAAATTTTCAGATCATCTAAACGAAAAGAAATGTTATATATAAGCAAAGAATGTTTTGTCCCATTTGGAGTATCATATGTTTTTCCAAGAAACGCCATATATGCCGATAAATTTAGCGAATACATATTAAGAATACAACAAAGCGGACTCATGGGAAAACTCTTGAATGAATTTAAATGGGAAATTGAAAGGTCATCTGCGGGAAAGCTGTTGCAGGTATGCGGCGCTCTCAATTCCGCATTGAATCTTTAATCAAAACACACACGATAAATTTTCCATATAAATAATCAATAATCGAATCATATTAATATTTTAGGCTAGTTCAGGTGTCCCCCTAAAGGAAATAGTACCAGTTCAGCGTAAGCTTACTCTTGATGACACACAAGGAATGTTTCTTCTTCTCGGAGCTGGATATTTAATTGCAATTGTTGCGTTTATAACAGAAATAATTGTTTATTGTAAAAAAAATAAAAGAAACATGGATGAAACGTCTAAATTACCAAATTTAAAAGTTTACGTTTTATCAGTAAGGTCTTTATTGAGATTACAAAAAGAAAATAATAGTCCACATTCTCAACAAATAACTTCTTCAAAACAACCCATCGATATTCGTAAATATAAAAATTTTGATTCTTATGATCCAAGAGACAATGACAAGGGATTTTTACATAATCGAAAGGATAAAACTTTTTTTGAAGAAAATATTACAACGTCCTTGGAGTCCCTAAGTAAAAATTACGTGAACGATGGTAATCGTAAATCTACAGTTTCATTAACTTGGGACGAGGATTGTAGTTCTTTACATAAAAGACAGAAGTTTACCAGAGTACGGACATCGTAATTAATAAAAAAAAAAAATGTCAAAGTAAAATTAAAATAATAAAATAATGTCATAATATTATCATGAATAAATTACATAATAATTAAATAAAAATTAATTATTTATTAGAGAAAAATATAAATAAGTAAATATTTTTTATTGATTAAAAGGAAAAAAAAATTATTTATGTGAAAAAAATAAATATATATTTTAATTTAAATAATAATTTAATAATAATAATAAATGCAATTGGTGAAATTTTTTTTTACTTTCAAAAGTTGCATGCACTGTTTGAAAACGAGCCAAAAGAAACTGACACAAAATGGCGGCAGTTGTAGACTCACAGACTAAAGCAGGATAAATTATTTTAATTTTTCTTCAAATATAATGTAGTTATGTGGATTATTCGCGTCAAATGAGTTCGTTAAATATTTGGTATTTAATTTTTATTTGTTTTTTTTTATTAATTGATTATTTGTGCGAGTGTGTAGTTATTTTAATTTTAAATATGGAATTTTACAATTGCGTAACGTAAAACATAATTTTTTAAAATTATTTTTTAAATTAAATTATTCATCATTGATGAAGTAATTATTCCGATTGTTTTTTCAAATGAAATTATTTATTCGAATAATCATAATTTTTACTAATGCTTACAAATTTATTTTTCATTCTTAAATTTAAAAATTTGTTTTATGAAACTGGTTGATTCAAGTTAGCTACCTTACTTAAAGGTAGAACCAAAAATTATTATTTCTTTAAAGAATTATTTGATTTTTCCGTTACTGAAAGGTTTAATCTTTATTATTTCAAATAATTTAAGAATTTTAAGACAAATTCATGAAACAATTAATTAATTAAATTAATTTTTTTTTCAGGGTGAAAAGATATTAGAAAATGGAAAATCACCAAGGTTTAAAATTAATAATTTTGGAAGAGTATAATTTATTAAAAGAAAAAATTAAATTACAATCATGGAGGAAAAAGAAAAATTAAAAAATTTAGAAAATATGAAAATTAAATTAACTGAAAGTAGTAGTAACGTAGAAAATTTATTTACATTAGATAATAGTAATCACGATACTAACATACAAAATAATAATTTTAGTAAAAAAATTGAATCGCATACTTTAGTACTTGACCAAGTAAAAAAAACTGAAGGGAGTAAATTTTCTGCTGACCTTTTAGATTTACCATTTTCCCCAAATGATTTTTCATTCGGGGATTGCAATGAATTAGAGCAAGCGTCTCAGTTTGTCGATCCAGCTTTAAAAGACTCCGAAGGTACTCCAATAATTAGCTTTAATAATAATAATAATGATTTAGTGCAATTATTTAGATTTAATATCAATAATAGTAAAGACGATAGTTTAAATAAAAAACAAAATGATTTAGTAAGTACGAAAAAAGTAAATGACACATTTGATAAATCATTTTACAAGAATGAAGTTATGAATAAAAAAAAGAAAGAGCCATTCAGTGAAAAACTTGAATTGTTGGATAAAAATATGAATGTTAATAATGAATTGCTAGATTGCAAATTATTAGATATTGCATTGCAGAATTCGAAGAAAAAAAATTTAAAAAAAGAAATTACAAAAAAGAAAAGTATTGGCACGATAAAAAAAGGAAGAAGGTATTTGGGAAATTTCAAGGAAGAAGTTTTAAATTATGCTAAAAATCACACATTTAAAGAAACTGCTTTGCATTTTAAAATCAACACAAATACTATCACTGAATGGTCTAGAGAAATAAAACAAATTTCGTTTAAATCAAATCATGCAAAATCGATGATTTTAGATTCTGCATTAAAAAATGACAAGACTGACATAACTCAAGCACCTTCAAAATCAAAGACTGAATTAATTTTATTAAATGAAGACATTTTTAAATTAGAGACTGATATTAATAAATTGTCTTCGAAAGGTATTAAAAAAAATTCAACACCAGATGAACAGTTTTTCAAATGGTTACAAAAAAAAAGAAAAGATAAAGTTGAACTCACCAGACAAGAAGTTTTCAAAGCAGCTGAAAATTGTTTGAAATGTTGTCCTGTCAGTCATGAAAAACCAGGTTGGTTTGTCACGTGGGTTAAAAGATATGATAAAGTTTTAAATTCCACAGAATCTAAAATGGATTCGGAGAAATATATAAAATACCCGATTAAATTTAAATTGGAAGCTGTTTTGTATGCGAAATTATTTACAAAAAATTCAGCTGCTAAAATATTTAACGTTTGTAGAAGAAGAATGTTTGATTGGTTTAAAAGTTTTAATAATTTTCAAGATTCTATTAATGTTGTAAAAGAAAAAACATTGAATAAAAATCAAGAATTGAATTGTTTGAAAAAAAATAAAGCGAGGGATAATATTTATTCTGAATTACATTTTTGGTATCAGGAAATGATTTTTAATGGTTTCAAACCAACGAGTAATGATGTAAGTTGAAAGTTTTTTTTTTTTTTTATATGTATTGCCTTGATTTTTCATATTGTTAAATTTAAGATGTTTACAAAATTTATTATGAATTTTTTTTTTTTTTAGGTAAAAAACAAAGCAAAAGAAATATTTTCATTCTACGGTGAAAAAGAAATCAAATTTTCCGACGGATGGCTACAGAAATTTTGTCAAAGGAAAAATATTAAACTTAAACATTCTGATGATGACGTACTTCTCTTATGGATTTTATCACAGTATGATAACAACGTGACGTTATCACATCAGGAAATAACGGACAAATCTCGTAGTTTAATAACGAGTAAAAAATTTAAGGTTTGCGTTTGCACACGTTTAAAAAAAATTGAAAATTTTTTCAGTTTTATTTAACGAATTTTTTCCTCTCTTTCGCAGGGTTCAAAAAACTGGACGCTAAGATTTTTAAAAAGACATAGAAATCTTCTTCAACATTCTCCGACCGTTAACGATGAGTTACCACAAATAACAGAAGAAAAATTAACAAAATTTTTGGAAGAATACGACGCAAGTTTAAAATTACTTAAAATAAAACATGAAAATATTGGTTGCATGGATGAAATACCACTTTGCTTCAATTATCCTTCGGGTAAAAATAAAAAAGGAAAAAATTAGAATTTTTAATTGGCCAATTTAAACGAAAAAAATTTTTTTTTTTTTTTCGAGTAGTCAACGAGTCTTCTTCTAATTTACCATTATTGAGAAAAACCGGATTTGAAAATTGTCAAGGAATTGTTTTATTATCTGCATTGGCAAATGGTTCCCTACTTCCACCGACCGTTGTGTTCAAGGGTATCGGCCCTAAACAATTATTATCAAAGTGCAATTTTAAAATATTAATTCTTTATCAGGAAAAGGGTTTGATAACATCGGAAATATTGGAAACGTGGGTCAATGAAATATGGTTGAGGTATGTGTTGTTTATAAATAAATAAATTTACGCGAGGAAAAATTTTATATTAAAATAATTTTTTAAAAAATGTGTTACAGGAGCGTACCGACCGTACCGAATGCTCTCATCGTCGATTCGTTCGAACCTCATCGCTCCATTCAAAAATGTTTATCTCGAAAAAATTGCATCCTTCACGTTATACCAAATGGATGTTCTTCGAAATTTCAACCCCTCAACGTTGGAATAACTCATTTATTTCAAGTAAAATTAATAAATTTATATTTATTTAAAAAATCACCACTACTCGTTAAAACTATTAATAATATTTTTTATTTTAAGGCATCTATTAAAAATCAATGGGATAAATTTCCCACGTCTGAAAATAAATGTTTGAGTAATCAAAGGTATCGATGTCCGGATCACGAAACAATACTCGAATGGGTACAAAATGCGTTTGAAGAAATACAAGAAGACCCTTTGAGAATAAAAAACGCCTTTAAAACGACTGGTTTGTTACAATAAAAATAATCTCAATTTTCCCCAAGTCTGATAAATAAAAAGTCTGATTGATTATATTCAAAGTAACTCTAAATGAAATTTTTTTTTTTTTTTTTTATATGAAAATTTATATTATTATTATTATGTATTTCGATCTGAATGATATGAGAGTTTTCTTAAACCTTTAAATAATAATAATAATAATAATAATAATAATGTTTAAAAAATAAACAAAAGTCACAATATATATATAAGATTTTTTATTATTATTATTGTATTTTCGGCCGAAAAAATTAAATGGCCGCCATATTTGTTTTTTTTTATTGCCATTATGTTAAATAATAAATCAATTTAAATGGTTTTTTTTTTAATATTTAATATTAATATGAAATTAATTTCAAAATATATTATTATAAGTAATTTTTCACAAGTACAAAAATTTACTGTTTTTATAAAAATCTAATGAAAAGTTCGTTTTTTATATTTATATATATATATATATATATACCTTTTTTGTGCGTTAAACATTTACTTGCTTTATAAAACCTGAAACAATGATAATAATAATAATAATAATGATATTTTTTTTTTTTTTTAATTTCAGAATAATGATAATAAACTTACTTTTTTGATTTATAAATCATCAGTGGCGGAATTTTGTATTTCACACCGACATTCACATTCATCTGTTGGGAAAAGAAATTAATTTGATTTTGTGATATTTTTAGATGATAATAATAATAATATAAAAAGGATTATTCGAATGATGACTCACCATTTTGTACGGGTGCGCAATCATCCTGTACAAAATTTCCAGGAGCCAAATAACTTCCTCTGTATATGGAAAAGTTTTCCATTTCTCTTGTCGGTTGTTCGTATTTTGGTTTTTTAGCCCAAGGATAAATTTCTTTCGGTGTCGGAGCCCAGGGTTGATAACTTAAACGATTGATGGTATCCGATTCCAATGGACAGGGTGATTTTTTATATACGCTCGAAGGTTTGTAACTTTCCGTTTTGGGTAAGTTTTCATTAGGCAAGTAAGACGCTCTAAACGTCGTGGTATCTGTTTTTTGGGGGAAAAATAATTTATGATGATAATAATATCGTTTTTAAATGTGTTAAGGTACGATGATTTTTGAATTTACCTTCCATTTTAAAATTTGATGCGGATAAACTATATTTCGGACGACAACTTTCAGTTAGAATCATCGGTTTAGGAGTGTAATCATGACGATGTGTAGTCACGGATTGCATGGGTCCAATTCCGATCATGTTTCTCAAAACGGGTTTAAATGGACAAGCTCTTTCTCCTTCTACTCCTGTGTAACTTAACCGCGCTGTCGTTTCTTGGGACATGGGTTGAGTAGATAAATATATATTTCCTCTTTTTATAGCAGGAGGTTTCTTAAATTTTTAAAAAAGTCGTTAATTTTTGTAATTTATTCAATTTGAACTATTACAGGATTTGAAGGCTTACCACGGGTGGTACTAAACCATTGTCTTGATAACTTTCGCGGTAAATGGTTTCACATGCCAGAGGTACGTTTGGACTTAATTTTTCCAATCCGGATAATGGTTTAAAAGAAACAGCTTTCTCATAATTATCTGTCGGTAGGTAACTGCTCCCCAAAAAAAAAAGTTTGCAAATTAAAATAACATGAAATTAAAATTTACAAAAATTTCAGGTATTACCTGGCTCTGTAAATGGTATTATTTTCCATGCAATAATTGGGTTGCTTATACGAATCCCTTTTTTGCCAGGGATAAATTTCTTTCGGTATGGGATCCCAAG